TGTAGCACACGTTTGGTCTATTTAACGAGTTGTAATATGGTGCTACAAATGGCGAGACTCACTGACGATGTCGGCGAAACGTTTGGGAATGTACCGCGTCCACGGTCCGACTTTGAAAATAATTATGCATAAAATGGACTCAGGACAAGGTGCGTTTTCTATAAGTCTTCCTACCAATATGACCAAGTTGCGAAAACAAGGTCAAACAACTTCTAAACGGATTGGTATGTTTCGAGGCTATCAGTAGACCCTGAATAGGAATTATGGTAAGCAACTAACGCTGAAGTTGATCTAAAGAATGGTAATCGGAGTTCCCACAACATATTAAGTAGGCCTGAAGATGCAATCAACTGCCACACAGACTTGCCCCTCAAGGGGCTCTGCCAATCAGACTCGGCCTCGTCGGGTGCTCATCATCCTTCCCGACGGATTCGCAATAATGACGTGGCGACATGGCACCACTCCATCAGATCACGGGAAAGATGCAACTGTCTTCTAATTATGAATGTAGATTAGACAAATTTTTGCTTTATTCCAAGATAAACTGGGCTTTGAAGACTCCCCTAACGAGCTGGTGTGACGCGAATTTTCGTTTCGAAGAAAAAGTTGGTTGAGACGAATTCGTGTTTTGGCCGCACCGGAAACCGAGGGAGGATTGCGGTTCACCGTCCTGCAACCCCTAATGAACCAGTGTTAAGCTTTCGTCTGTCCCGTCATGACAGACATAGTCAGAGAAAGAAAGCATACTTGACGAAATAGCATACCGGTCTACTATACTACTAATGTACTACTCGAATTCATCGGAGTCGAAGAACGGTGAGCAGAGGACTTATTCGCACAATCATAAAGTCAGTTTGTCTACACTTTCTGATGAGACAATTTACCGGATTCCTTTGAATCAAGTTTTTCTCTAAAATAAAATGTCATTTCACAGTAAACTTTTGTTTTGCGATAACTGTTTGCTGAATGGGCAAGCTTTGATATTATCACTCCATCTTGAATAAGAATCTGCCCTATTCACTGTTCCACTGTGTCCATGAATTGAGAAAGGTCTGGTCTGCTTTAACCGTTTCATCTTCCCTGCGACCCCTTAGCATCTGCGGCTGTATGGCGGAGTGGCATCGTGTCGTCACGATAATCACGACACGGTTTCGTATCCAATTTAGGCTGCTGATGTGATACAGGCCAGAAGGATAAGCAATGCAGAGGGAACTTCAGTGCTCAAAATGATTGTGGGAAAGATTAAACTGCCAGTATCCACATCGCCTTAGACTATCGACATGGTGACAAGTCATAATGGGCAATGGATAATTTTGCGTTAGGCAAGGCCGAATTGGTAGTGTAGCCTATTCATGTCATTGTGACAAAAGCTCTACAATCCGTCCTTGAAATCACCTGATAGTTTCGTAGGCTACTCATACCCAAAATGAGTAGTGACGTCGAGGGCAATTGCAAGCGCAAGTCTGCTTACTCGACAGTCTCACTATAAAAAATGAGAGTTCACTGACCTCCGTGGCCGTGTGGTGGAGTGGAGTGAAAGCGTCGACTCAGGCTCGAACCCGCCAGAGGTTCTGAAGTGACCAGTTAAAAGAGGCGGCATGTGCAATCCGTGCCCTTTGTGGAACAAGATCAGGTGATATTTGATGGTATTGTGAGGTCTGATAATTTGCGTTTAAGTGCATTAGTCACCTGATGGTGACTAAATGCTTTGCAAGCAATTATTGATGATTTCAAAGGCCATTCATATCGAAATGAAGTTACGCCATATGCGAAACTGGTCCTTTGGACCGAGTCGACCTCCGAGTCGGTGGGCGGTGAGAGGACTTTCGCGTTGCCTGACAACGGAGTGGAACGAATACAGTCAGACCGTCTTGCCGTCGGATGGAGGTACCGAATGGCCAACTGGTCCTTCCGACTTCGAGGCTGGTGGGGCTGGGCCGAGCCTCCGAGCATCGGGCAGACGAACGGTCCAACTGTAGGGCCTATTCGTTCCGGATGGTCAGTCATCCTCGCCTCCCGACCCCACATTTTGTGCTTATCAAAGTTATGCTTAACAGGGCGGCTGAAATGAATGGTCCATTCGAGGAGGGAAGAGAAAGAGACTCGACAAAAAGGGTGTGAAAATGACCCACTTGTTTCACACCTCGGTCCTCCCCAAGGCTCCAGGCACTGACAGACGCCAACTCCACTGAGTCCGGTGCAATGACCGACATTTTTGCAGGAGACATCGGCGCAAAGATCTACTCAAAAAAAAGATATTCTTAATATTTACACTTTTTACTTTTAAGCGGGCTTTCGAGACTATGAGTAAATCAGTAGCAGAAGATGTATTCACTCTATTTCGTTTAAAGTCATGAAGGACTGGTAGTTACTTTTTTCCACTGAAGTTTCCATCCAATTTCACATAGCCTTGCTATCCCTTTAAGATGTTCTCATCCCGGCTGCAGTGGACTGTGAGCTCAATACCTCCGACGGGACTCGAACCATGACAATGCAGCGCGTAATCTCGACATGTCAACCATTGCGCCACATCGCCACGAGTGTCATTGGGTTGCAGGGCAGATGTGCACTTTTCCACATTACACGTGTCGAGATGATACGCTGTCCTGTCACGGCTGGTGTCCCTCTGGGGGCACGGATGAGACGAGTTGAGACGTGGTCAAAACTGCTGTCCACTCGTGCCCGGACGAGAATGCCTGATGGGAAGCAAGGCTATGTGAAATGCAATGGGAACATGAGGTCTACACGTCAATTGAAATAAGGTTAACACAGCTCATATTGCTGATTTAGTGCTAGTCTCGAAAGCCTAATTGCAAACGAAAATTGGGTGATGACAGTTGATGAAGAGAGATTGGTCGCCGTCTCTGGATGGAATAGACACTTGCACTCGAGATGCATGGGATGCATGAAAATGCATGGAACATCTTCGCCAGACTCTGCCAAGTCGGTTCACTGGACGATTGAGGCGCAGAGAGGGTGAAAGACTCACTCTTCTCGCAAATCACTCCTCCGTAGGGATCGGGGCAGACGCAGACGCCGGCGGTGCCGTTGGTCACACAGAAGCCCCCATTGAGGCAGGTCAAAGAGGCGCAGAGGTCTGAAAGATGAGAACATGTGATGCGGTAAGAATGAGGACTGGACAAGACAAGAAAAGCAGTAATGGGGGCGGCAACAGCAGCACAAGAAACGGGTTTAGGCAGGTTGCTGTACGTGAAGAAAAGTGTCCATTTCTTGGGCAACCTGAAAATTCGTATAAGAGTAGGGTTTCGAGACTACCAG